AGAGGACAAAATACTGAGATATTGATGTACTGAAACAAATACATGCCTTGTTGTTGTATATTTGGTGTCTAATTGCTTCGTTTTCCCCTTACCTAGTAAAAAGTTGAAAATATCTAGTTAGACAAAGAATAGTCTGAAATCCAGTCGTTTCACTATTCCTGAAGATTCCCATATGACTGATTAGTTTTATATGGTTAAAATCAATCAGTGTTGAGACATATCTAATGTCTTTATTGCTAATCTGGAAGGTTTATATACTTGCAACATTTAAATTTAGGTTGGCCACATCCAATGTGATAGTCCAAATATTGTGCTCTTACATTTTCCTCCTTTGAGTCATACAAGCATTCAAGGCATGGTTTAAAGCTCATGTATTGCCTTCATTTGTTTATGCATAGAAATAATGAAAATTATTTTTAAAAAGTCTGTAGTGTAATATCACTGAATTATAATACAATACAAGAGCTACGTATCTCTCAAAATCTGTCTTGTTCATGTTAACTTCATGTTAAAATTCGACACTCTCCGAGAAGGAATGAACAAACACTCAAACTATCTTACCCATTACCAAGATAGCTTCCCCAATTATCACCTCTAATACCATTAGCTCACAAACATCCCACTCTCCCCACCTCTAATATCATCAATTCACAGACACTTACCTTCCTTCCTTCCCCCCACCCCTGCATCCCTCTTCTGTTCTGAAATGTGATTTGTCCTTTTCATATGTGTTCATTTTTTTAAATTGTATCCTTTGGTATATATGGTTGTGACTATTTTCTTCCACTATTTGATCTGAGGAAGTGGGTCTGGCCCACGAAAGCTCATCATCTAATACACCATCTTGTTAGTCTTTAAAGTGCTACATTGTCCTGCATTTTGCTTCAGCTACCCCAGACTAACACGGCTACATTTCTATCACTGTCTTGTTCAAGGTACTTATAATTTAACTACTCAAAACTTGGCATTACTTTATTCATTCTTTTTCATTTTAGGTGTATGGTAAAACAATTGATGGACAGCAAACCATTATTGCATGTATAGAAAGCCATCAGTTCCAAGCAAAAAATTTTTGGTAAGTTCTTACCTAATCTTGTATTTGTGATAGACTGAGTTACTGAAATATAATAATCACCTCTACTCATCCTCAGTATGAGCTAATGCTCACTTTTTGGTGAGAAGAAGCTGTGGGTGAATTTGAAGCTTCTTTAAAGAACTATATAAAAAAAGCTTTGCTTCTAAAAGATGCAAAATGGTAGGTTACAGCTCTGTTATGTTGCAGACTATTTGGGAATTTCCTATCCATGCGTTTTCCTTGACTTTCCAGTGATTTTCTTACTTGCAGTTTTCCTTCCTTGACTATTGTTTCAGCCAGTTATTTTTAGCTTTAAAATGTTGTTCTTTTATTTTAAGTTGTACGATGTCCACAAAGAAAAGCAAATTGAGGACTAGGAAATGTACAGCTATTTTGCATTGGCAGAAGAAGAAATGACACATGATTCAGTTTCACTTTATTTCTCCTAGCCAGGTTCAGAAGCAGTCCTTTCACAGCTGTATGAGTTGCCTAGCTTTGTTTAGGTAGCCAGCGGGGATGGGAAGCCTACAATAGGATGTGGGCTTGAAGTATCCATCAAGGAGGGGAGGGATAGCTCAGTGGTTTGAGCATTGGCCTGCTAAACCCAGAGTTGTGAGTTCAATCCTTGAGGGGGCTATTTAGGGAACTGGGGCAAATCTGCCACGGATGGTAGTTGGTCCTTCCGTGAGGGCAGGGGACTGGACTCAATGACCTCTCAAAGGTCCCTTTCAGTTCTACAAGATAGGTATTGTGTGTGTGTGTGTGTGTGTGTGTGTGTGTATATATAAATATATACTTGACAGTCTTTCTTTTAAACTATCAATACCTAGGACCTTAGTTATCCCAGAGATACCACTGGTTCCTTTTTGTCTGAAGGGAGATGAGCAGGATACCTTCAGTAGAAATATTTAGCTTCACCTTACAGCTCTTTGTCATTAGTCATTCCCCACAATTCCTCAGAAGACAAAGGGCAGCACAAATCAGGTTTACTGATTATTGTCAAAATACCCTCCTATTATCCAGTCTTATACTGCCAGGCAAAAGAGTTCTCTGATCCCATCATGAGAATTTTAGTTCAGAAAAAAGTGGAAAAATGGGAAGGGAGCAAGACAAAACAGGACTTCTGGAAATTTGTATCCAATATGCCTGAGACTTTTTGCTAGCAGAAACACAGCTTTTTTTTTTTCCCCAGACATAAGAAATACTTTGTTAGTGCTTTTTCTTCATGAGTCCTCTTAGACTGGCTATACTAGAGCAACATGTATCAAAAGGACGCATCACCAATATTGCTAAGAAACTTCACCAATCTTGCAAATTCTCCAGTTCTTAATACTTTCAGGGAATTGTTACTCCAGGTAAAGGGAAAACCAGCTTCCTTCCCACTCCCAAAAAATCATAGGAGCTATGAAAAAAAGTGAGAAATCCATTAGCTTCTCCAAAAGAGCACAACTAAGAGTATGTTTCAGAAACTCAAGCAAAATGCTTGTGGTGATGCAAAATGCCATCATTTACTATTAATTTTCACAGTAGGAAAGATTTAAGAGAAATTCTGTGCATATATTTTCCCATTAGTGATAGTTTTAATTCTTATGCATAAACCTCTGGAAATTTTCTTGTCAGAGTAGTACATTGTTGCCTTAAATATAGGTTCTCAAGACAAATGACTAAACCTTAGAGGGCCTAACATCTGAAAGCCAAGGAATTTCTAACCTCTGTCATGCTATGAAGATGAGACTTGAAGGTAGAATCTTGAATAATGTCCAAGGTTTTCTCTCCTGTTACATTTCAGGATAAAGTTCCATAGTGAGGATGTAAAGGACGGGAAATGCTAGCATTTCAACTCATTTTCTCTGAATAGTCAGTGCACTAAGCCGTTATCTACCAGATTTTGGCAAATAGTAAACTTTTCTGTAAACTGAAATATTTTGGCTAGATGAACTATTTCTCCTTTTTGCTCTGTAAAAGTTTATCTGGCTAATAACTAAAATTAAGTCACTTGCAATTGTGTGAAGGCTTTTTGCAACTTTGGAAGTAAACTTCTAGATCACTGAGCTTGGGCTCATTGGTTAATGTTTGAGTTAGACACAGTCTCCAGATATGCACAGGAAGCCACCTTAAAAGCTGGCTCTCGTGCACCAGCTCCTGGGGAGCCAACTGCTGCCCCTTTGAAAATGTCAGTGTTTACACAAAGTTATACAGTTACATTGACAGCCCTAGCAGTTAAGTATCTGCATTAATGCCTGCGATTAACGCAGGGTGGGATGAATGTGTTAAAAATATTAACGCGTTAATCGCAGGTGTTAATGCTGTGCTGCCCCTTTGAAGTGCCACTCCGGTGCTTCAAAGGGGCAGCGCTGCACAGAGCCCGGGGTCAGCTGGGGACTCCAGCTGACCCCAGGGTCCCGTGGTGCTGGGGTGGCCTTTCCAAGGAGCAGTGTTGCATAGAGCCAGGATCAGCTGGGGACTCCAGCTGATCCCAGGCTCCTGCAGTGCTGCCCCTTTGAAATTCTGCTGCTGCATTTCAAAGAGGTTGCTGCCCTGAGACTGGGGTCAGCTGAGGACTCCAGCTGATCCCAGGCTTCTGCAGCGCTGCCCTTTTGAAACGCTGCTGATTTAAATTTTTTTAATAACTTGACAGCCCTATCAATTACATGCATTTTAACATCCCTAATAGCTAGTGAATATAACTGTTAGAGAAAACTTGATCTATCTCTTGTGCACTTGTAACATGATAGCCATGCACATGTTTCCATTCCCAATTGCAAAAAAAGGTCTTATGTCACTAGTTCAGGAAGCCAATATTAGTTAATCATAATTATTTCTGTATGCTGCATCAGCCAGTGAGATGATTTCATATTATCCAATATAATGCCTTGCCATCTGCTCACTTAACAGAAGAGCTGATAAAATTTGAAATGCCACTGTTTTTGATGTTCTGTGTTCCATTAAAATCAAAATACAGATTTATAATCCAGGCAGTGCATCTCTGATTAGAAAATTGTCAGAAAGCAGTTGATCAGCACTAGTAAATAAAATAGATAAATTAGTAAGGAAACATTGTTTTTATTTTATGCAATCATTTGAAATAATTGAAAACATTTGAAATGTGCAACAAGCTTCTAGAAGTTCTAGGTTCAGCAATGAGTACAGAGTTATGATTAGGACTTCAATGTGAAAGATATCATAATTTAAGGATGACAAAGGACTTTACAAACCATTGAAATGACTTAATTTTTTACTAAAATGTAGGGTCTGTTAGTGACACGTTGCAGTTATCTAACAACCCGCGGAGTACTAGTTGTTCACAGAAATCTTAAGTATGTGAAGTGTAGCGACACAAGTTGGGAGTTTAAACACACATGGCACTTCTTGCTGCAAGTTGTCAGAACATTGTTCTGGCACTTGTAGCACTATACTGCCATCTAGCAGTCTAGTTGAGAAACTAGTAACTCAAGGAACACAGAACCTCTCTATCCATCTCACTCAGTGAGCTTAAATAGTTATCAAATCCTACCTTGCTTGGTTTTTGAGTTCTGAAATTACAGCCCAAGGTATATGGATTTGGGCATTTAACTTGTCTGAATTATATTTAATGGAGCATTTCTTCATCAATTTGCATGGATTAATTACCTGGTAATCTTAAACTTTTTTTCAGTATTGTTATCTTCTGAAAGGGAATAAAATGTGTAGCTATTCTTGTGGAAAGTGAGTTTATGGTGTACCCAAACTGTTCTTCCTGAATACATACACAGAGTAGAAATTGAGAGCATGCAGGAACTTTTCTAATATAGCCTTTTTCTGATGGAATGATCCACTAACTCTTTTCATAAGTGTCTGCCTTGCGGGATGCAAACAGTGTGAAATGTAGCCTACCTGTATTTCAGACATCTGGAAAGATGCACTCTCCACTTGAGTGGTTTGAGAAATCTATTACATTTGTTTCTAATGGAAGGAATGTCTACAGTTCTGGAGCTTTATATTTAAGAGATGTCCAAAACCTTAGCTATAGTTAATAATATATTTAATGTTTGGTTTTGTTTTTTAATAAAAATGCAAAGATTGTAAAGCTAGTGGGCTGCAAAAGGTCACTCTGTTGCTGGAAATCATCCTTTTCCTCTAAAACAGTAGTCAGCTACATATTTTTAGAGAGAAAGTTCCAGTTAGAACATCTGTTATGAATATATCATCTTGCTTCATATCCAAAAGCAAAAAGAAGTGTTCCCACGGAGCCCCAGTTTTTCTTAACTGTTTTAGTGCTTTAAAATCATGAGTGATTTTTCTTTTGTAAAAATATTGTTCCTCCCATGCTACCACACTTAACTCTCTGAAATTAAATACTAAGTTTGTTGACAATGATGCACAAATTTTTGAATTTTAACATTTTATTCAAATTATTTTCCCTGCCTCCTTTTATAGCTTTATTAATATGATTATTTTATTATTATTATTATTGTTAAGGAATGGCCGTTGGAGGTCAGAATGGAAGTTTACAATCACCCCATCAACTACTCAGGTGTCTGGCATCTTGAAAATTCAGGTAGGCTTACCATAAATTAGATACTTTGGTATTTAGTAGATGTCTAGTTTTTCTTTTTTTAATTAGGGGAATCTCATGGCAATATAGCAACCTCTTATAATAGTGGTGCAAGAAAAAATAGAACAGATACACAAGTCATTCTGCAATATTTAAAAACAAATTGGCATATTTGTCTATAAATATTCATGTATACATTTGTGTGTGTATACACGCGCGCGCATAAACTTTTTAAAAAGTAGATGACGGATGGTGGTGGAGACTCATCCTAGTTCGTGTGATGTGGAGCAGAATGTTCTTTTTGAGTGGGGAAAGGGGTATATGTTGCTCCCCTGCCTCCTGTATCCAAAGTCTTGGTGTCTGTTCAAAGAAGGCTAGTTGTAGCTTGTTTAGGCTATTTCCTCTTAAGGGTATAGGATAAGAGAAATATACTCTTTGTTCCAGGAGCTCTGTTGCTGCTGCTACACTGCAAATGGAAACATTTTTTTAAAACGGATAAAGAATCCGGTTTTACGTTTAACAAAGTCAAACATTTCTTTGGATACACTACCAGAATCGTTACAAGAGCAGCCCAATTAATGCATACATCAGTGGTCCCCAACGTGGTGCCCACGGCGCCATGGTGCCTGCTGGGGCATTTATGTGCACCCGCCGAACAATCTGGGCCGGCCCCGCCCCTGGGTGCACGGCTCATGCCGGCGTGAGGCGCATGGGCGGCCCCGTCTCCTCAGACAGTAATATAGTTGCCTATGTTTTAGGACTTTCTGTGCATCATCGCCGGTCTGTCTCTCCAGAAATATTTTTTTAACTATCAAATTCTCAAGTTTTGGTGATGCTTTTTTCATCAGTTTAGAGGGGTTAAAAAAATAGAAAAGATTTTGTTCTCTGAAAATTCAACTGTGAATGAATGGTATTTAGTTATTTTTGCCACAACTGGTAAACAGATTTCATTTTAGAAGGATAAGATGACACCAATAAGAATAGTTTTCTAAGCTAGCATGTGTATTTATGTAATGCTATCAGTGCACCTCTGTGGAAGTTGCTAAAAAGGTAATCATGGATGGATGGGCATATCCTACAAGTTACTATACATACTTTACAGTTCAGTTGCCACCTTTTTTAATCAGTGATCTCTAGGGCCAGAAGTAAAACAAACTGATTTTTGGTCTCAAGACTCAATTCCAAGACTTTCTTTCTCAGTTTTGTTTGCAAGTGCACGTACGTTGTAACTTTCCTTTTTGATTCAAGCTGGTAAGGCCAAAACCCTCTTATCTTTAGCATTTTCCAGTTTAAATCATAAAGGTATCCATTACTCTTAAATACCATGCCATTTGTTGAGAATAACTTCTTAATTTCCCATTGATGTTTAAATCTCCTCCCTCACAGAAATCCTACATTTAAAATGTCTTCAAACCCTCTGATTTTTAACTCACTGACTTCATCAAAATTAGTTTTAATATCTTTAGATAATTGACAACTGGTAGGACTGTAAATTAAGGGCAGAGAGGGAGTACAGTAAGCCTTCACCGGGAGAGATCAAGAGTTTCTATTACTTCAGATTACTAGCATTATTGTGCAGGATGGAATTCTTTTGTCCCTTCTCTGGGTAAACAGTCTGACATTTGGGAGCTATATATATATATATAAAGAAAAGGGATTTCAAAACACAGACCAACATAGTACATAATAATGTCATGCTGCTTCCAGCAAACAGTCTGGGTAAGTAAAGATAGCACATTGTAGCTTGAAGCTTTGCCAAAACTCTTCTTGAACAAAATCAATCCTCGCTACTTGAGCAGCTTCCAAAAGCACTCTAAAGAACACCTTTCTGCTACTGCAAGTAGCTCAGATAAAATGAACTCTTAATTGCAAAAGAAATGCCTGGAAATGAAAAGTGCTACTCTGAGCACATACAAGTATAACTCTGCATTTCAGTTGGAATGCACAACCCACAGCTGCTCCTACCTTCCTCCAGAAAAGTACGCTTACATATTGACTAATGTTAGCATTTTATTAGCATGCTGATTTTGTATTTAAAGTAATAACATTTTATTATGGTGTTTGTTTTCACTTTTGCATAGGTTCACTATTATGAAGATGGTAATGTTCAGCTAGTGAGCCATAAAGACATACAAGATTCATTAACAGTATCTGTAAGTTATCTTTTTACATGGTCTCATATGTTGAAGTGACACATTTTATGTAGGTTTTGGATGTATTATTTAATATGACATTGTTTAATGCTTTTGGTGCTCCACATGAGTTCTGACCTGTGTATTCTACACTGCAAATGTGTTTTCTTGTATGGTTAGACATTCTGACACAATCCTTTCACCATTTAGAAGTAGGTGAATACAATTGTACATGCAAGTAGATAGCTAGTATTTTTACATTGCATGTACATTTAGTAATAAATGCTGTCTTCTGTGATGTCTTCCAGAATCCTGTAATTTGAATTTGCTGCAAGACTTGTTATTGCTTGTCTCTTTTTAAAGAAACAAAGTACATTAATTTTAGTTGAGATTATAGCTAGAACTGTCTGCACTTCTTCTAATTCTTCTTAAACTGTTAATTGTAGGTAGCTGGATGAATGTTCAAGGAGTTTGGTTTGAAATATTGTATGTTAAACATTGTCTCCCTCCCCTCCCAGTTATTGCCACACAATTGGCAGTGTTTGCTTAGGAGAAGAAAGATCAGGGCTCTAAAAATAACAATATGTAAGGGGAGAACTCTAACTAGTACTAGCTTGAACTAGTACAACCTATCTGTGATGTCACCATTGCTTTCATGGACATTAAATCTATTTCTGGGATAGACAAAACTTAGGATATGCTGCAGTTGGGGCCTGTATCTAGCAGGCCTCAACATTAGTTGTTCCCTTCAATGGAGGTGGTTATACTGGATTAGGGAGATGTGTGTAAATAACCCTTTGTGTGAACACAATAACAGGTGCATCCTAAGGCTTGTTCAGTCTAGGAAATGGTGCTGAGCACAGCATGAATTAATAATTGCTGTTAATAAAATGCCATGACTTGTATAATACATGAGGAAGTGAATAAACATTTACACTTTCTGCTTGGGAGTGTCCTTTAATTAACTTGAATCAATGAAATTAAATTAGCAGAGGGATTGGAGAAAGTACAATTTGAAAGCATCTCAGATGGTCATGATATGCTAATGAATAACTGGGAACTGAGTGCCAAACTGGATTTAATGTAGAACACTGTGAATTAAAATAAAGCAAGGCTCACTGGCTTTCTTATCACAATAACAACATACAGAGTAGGAATGGGGGGTGATAAATAATTAAAACATTTTTTCCAGAAGTTGTAGACATGGAAATTACTCCTGCATCATAAGTGAAGGGACCAAACATTCCTGTGCCCATGTGATATGGAGTTCTATATTAGTTAGGTTCTGGATCACCAATCAGGACTGATCTGATGCCTAAGCATCTCTTCATAAAGCCTTCTCCTCTACACAAGGACAGGAGACATTTTTTGTCATATTTAGACTTCAGGCGCACAAGGCTTCACAGGCAAAGCCCGCTGTCCTCTTGCAGTGAGGAGGAAAGGTTCCTTGACTGAGTACTAGGGATGTAAAAAATTGTGTAAAAATGTAACCTTGTAACTGCTAAAAATCTTAGCTATTACACACACAGCAGGCTCTGCAGTATACTGTTATACTGCAGAGCTCAGTATTGCTTGTCAGACCTGCTCCCAGAGATATAGTGTGTAACCATAATGGAAACTGATAAGCTGATGCTTAAAAGCTTCAATAGCGACTTGCTCAAAAAGTAACTGGACAGTGGGTACTGCTGCAAATGTTCTTAAGCTTCACTAGTTTTCCTTTTTCCACCAAAGTGCTTAATTTGTACTTAAAGACTATATTTAGAAATATGTAGCATGAAAGCATAATTCAAGCATCCAAAACATAGTACCAAAAAAAGTGTAGCTACTCAGGTTTAGAAAACATGAGGTTTTTCAGCTTGAATTCTGAACTGAACAACTCTGAGAGCCCAATTAATCTATTCTTTCTGGTAGATGGAGGCTACTTTAAACATCTCATAATTGCAGGAAAAGTATTGACAGCTTTTTTAGGGCTATAACGTTTTAGTTACTTAATTTGTAAACAATCACTTTCTTTCTTAGAATGAAGCCCAAACAGCAAAGGAATTCATAAAAATTGTAGAGGCTGCAGAAAATGAGTATCAGGTATGACTTCTGAAACGTACAAAATATTTGTGTAAAACAATGCTTAATTTCAGCCTGTATTGTATGCACTTATTACATGAGTTTGGGGGCTTAGTCTACAACTTAATTAGGAAAACTGGCTACTGAGAGTGAACGCAGTTTTGGTATTTCATTTCAATTATAAGGATCATTGCTATATTCATTTTATCACTTTTTGAGAAACTGAGTTGAGACAATTTAACTGTTCCGGTAACTTTTATTTCTACGCTGTAGCTATTACTGTTAACCTTATTTACCACCCTCAGCCCTTCTGATTGTTTCATATACTTGTGTCTCGTCTTAAATTAGACTGTGAGCTTTTGAGGGCAGATTTGTTTTTGTCAGTGCAGTGCCTTGCGTGGTTCTCACTTAAGGTTTCTAGGTACAAGTAAAATGCACGTAATTTCATTTTAGGAGTACTCAAGCTCTTGTGAAAGACCAGTCCACAGTTAAATACACTAGGTGAACACAACCAGATGGGTAAAATTAATATTATCTACATAAATAAGTTCGCATTTTTGTGGAAATTCCCATCCAAGTGAATCACTTTGGTTTTTTTCTAGCAGCTTTGGTAGATGTAAGAATAAGACCAATATTTCAAATTTATAGGATTTACAAAATACAACTTTTTAGGAGTCTTCTATGGAAACTTGAGTTCCATGTTCATTAAACTTTTGACATAAGGGATAACTTTCAGGCATGAAATTATATCCCACTTAGGTTAATTTATTAAAGCACCGAATACTTTAAATTCATATTACTAACAGTGGTTGTTGTAGAGCAGCCGTGGCCAACCTGTGGCTCACGAGCCGCATGTGGCTCCTGCCCCGTAAGTGTGGCTTGCAAAGCCGCTCTTGCGCATCCCTCCAACGACCCTTGCTGGCTCCCCACTTCCTGGCCCCTAGCTTCCCTGTGCTTACTGGGTTGGAGCTGCGGGGTTTTAAAAATGGCATCCAAGCTGGTGGCAGTCTTAAAGGGGCAGTCTCCCTTTTAATTTTTTTTGTTTTTGCTTGACAATTTGGTGGGGGGGGGGGGGGGGACTTTTTTTTTCTTTTTTGCTTGACAATCCTGGTGCGGCTCTTCGCATCTTTTCGGCCACTGTTTTGGCTGTCTTTTTTTAAATGGGTTGGCCACCCCTGTTGTAGAGCTTATTCATATTTAGGCTTGGAAGGATTGGATTTTTATTAGTAAGTGTTGATATCAGAATTCCATCCATAACTGAAATTTATATTTAGGCAAAGAAAGAATAATGCTGTTTAAGGATCGGAGTTTGGTTTAAAGATATTACTTTGTGTATATTTTTGTGATGTAAGGAATTTGTTTTTAACTGTTATAAAGCTTTAATTTTTTGAATCTCAACATTGCTGTCATTAATTGTTGGACAGCCTTGTAATTGCCTGCAACTGAAAATTTAAATTCAACTTTTAAATTATGCTTAAAAATTAACAGCGATATGTTTGCATTTTTAAAATTCTGCCAGTCCTAATTATATTGCATGTACAAATTGACCATGTCCATAGAAAAAATTGTGAAGTGTTATGGTCATAGGTAATACTGCTAGCGCTCAAAAACTATATTTAACTTTATAAACCAAAACAGAGTTTGGGTTCCCATTTGACAGCTTATTATAAGTAAGCGAGATCTTAAAAATTTTTTAGATTATGTAATTTTAGTAAGGTTTAAAAATAGGAATCAATAGGTTACATATTATCCTGTGATCATTTGAATTATGTCTGCATGTGCCATTTTTCATTTCTTTTAGCTATTGACAGTGTTTGTTTTGAATAATTCGAATTCTTTGCTTTAACAGACTGCTATCAGTGAGAATTATCAAACTATGTCAGACACTACTTTCAAGGCCTTACGTCGACAATTGCCAGTTACCCGCACTAAGATTGACTGGAACAAGATCCTTAGCTATAAGATTGGAAAAGAGATGCAGAATGCTTAAGACGAAGATTGCATGACTGGATAATTTTAGTGTTCTTGTATACAAATAAAAATTATTACAAAAGTATTTGGAACTGTTGAGTCACCCAGTCAGCATGGGCTTTTGCCATTGAAAAATCACTGTAAGTAGTTTGGTTAGAGCACAAAGCTTAACTAATCAACATTTTTTCCCCAGTTTGCTTGTTTCCTTTCTCTCAGAGGATTGCAAAATCAATATAGCTGAAAACTTTCTTCTAGAGTTTCTGTTGTACCTTTTTTAATAATGAAAAGACCATGCCTTTAGATTTCAATATGAAAATCAAGAACGTTTTGAAAAATATTTTTGCATACAGTAATTGTCTTGCTTTCATATGACGTGAGCAATTTCTGACTCTTGCTGGATTCCCTGAAGAGTTCAGTGTGCACGTTTCTAGTTCATAGGCTCATGATGAATTTAGCCATATGTGCTACTGTAGAAATCCTCTATCCCTCCATTGGGTATAAGGTTGGGAAAAACATTTTCTATAGTATGTTAAAACCTTTCAAAATACTTATTCAGCTGGCTCAGTGTTAATGTTTAAACAAGCCCAGGGTCTTATGCTGTTTTAAGATTTTGAAATTAAAAATACTTATTACATTTAATGCTTTATTCCTGACAATTACTTAAATGAGTTCAGATTCCATTTGCCCTGGAGTTATTTTTTATCATACAACCACAAATGTAATATAACAAGGCATATTGTAATATATAATCCTGTACTCATTACCATGTCTGTTTATTTTTTTTTCTTGGATTGAAATGTACTAAAATTCAATGTGACATTAAAATGCAGATTTTCTATTTATTTGAGTAGCAAATCAATTGCTGATTAATTTTGTTGTGTGGTATTTAAAAAAGATGGACACTACTTAAAATTGATATTCTCCCTTTGAAACATGTGGCCGCTTAAAGGTTGTATTAGAAATTTTGGGTACATATATAGTACGCTGTCATAGCACATTTCTCCACCCCTCCTCCCCATTTGTAAGATGCAAGCTCATAATATTTCTCTGCTAAGGACTGCTTGAAGTTCTTATCTTATATCGGGGTAGCCAAATTTTCTTCCCCCTTTCTCTAATATTATTTTCAATAATATATTGAAAATGTTGTACTTGAGATATTAAATATCGGTTAATTGAATAGCCAATTAACCTCATTAATTCTTATCTATACTTGACTATTCTGTAGTCTCCAGGGATGGGGCTGCCGGCAGCCAGTGTGCTCGGCCCTACTCCTGAGGAGCCCCTTGCCATTCCACACTGTTGCCTCTGTATCAGAAGCAGCAGCGTCGGGTGCCAGGCAGGAACCAGTCTGCATAGGGAGCTAGTTTAAAAAGCAGCTACCCTTGCGGACTGGCTGCCTGTCTCACTATGCTGCTGCCTCTGATATACTTGCTGATTAGAAGAACCCCAAGACAAGAATGGGGAGGTGACTGGTTGGTTCAGTGGAATTGTTAATGGACAGCAATGCTCTGGAGCCTCTTATTTCTAGGCCATTGATTTGTATGGGCTAGGTTCATACTAATTCAAGTCCCGATGCCCTATCGGAAACCAGCTTTTGATCTCAGTTCAGTTCCTGGTAGATGGACACGGGTAATCACCCATGAATGTTGTCCTTATTGTTTGGAAAGAACTGCCAAGCAGCAATTAACCACAGAGAACTCACTAACACATTACCCTCAGATGTGGTCTTTCTAGGATCAGACATATTGGAGAGATGGAGAATAGGCAGAGCATTAGCAATTCAATCTTATTGTGTGAACTTTCTAACTCTGGCTATTACTCCTATACCTTGAACAGCATAATTCCATTCCAACTGTGCATAACAGCATTGTATGTTAAGTCACTTCTCCAGTTACACATTGGATCCAATACACCATCAATGGAGTGTGTACCTGCTGCTACAGTAGCAGGTATTTTTGTTGCTTTTCACAAATGGAACCGCTTCAGAATGGCTAAACTCTCTTAAAATTCTGCCATATATACCTGCAGGATGGCTTTGAATGGCACTTCACCCTCTCTGTCCTTCTCAGTCTGTGAAAAGAAGAGAAGAGGCTGCATCATAGGCTTTTTGAGTACATATCAGAAAAACACACAAACTTTGTGTGGCGGGGAGGGGTTGGTTCTTTTTCTCACAGGACTTCTACTTATGGAATAGAAAAACTTATTTTGTACTGGGCAATGTGAATGTTTGAAACATTTCCAATTTGTATTTTTGTAAAAGTGGTCATGTTTTTCTTTGGTTACATGCCACTTAATGCAGTTTATGCAGCTCCAACATTATGCCATATGCTAGCTGTACATTTATTTTTCACTTCCATTAAGAGCTCAGGAATTTCTGTACAAACAGTAGACCAGTCACTTCTTATCTTTTATATGCATTAGTTTGTTCAGCTAGATAAGACATCTGACCATTTCATAGCAGCTCATTTTTTTATGTTCTGTTTATTTAATCATGTATTCTCACCAGTTTTAATCTATGTATCATTCTAAATTGTACATTGTAACATGCAAAATAACCAGTCTTCATAGGCTATGTCTACACTACTAGGTTATTTTAAAATAACTCCCGAATAACTATTTTGAAATAGTCCGTCGAAATTAGTCTCCTTTAATGTGGATACACTATCTCAACTTAGAGCCCCAGGAAGCACTAATGAGTAATTACTTTGAATGATTCTGGGGCGTAGTTATTTTGAAACAGCAACTGAGCATCCATATTAACCCTATTTCAAAATAGGTGGTGTTCCTTGTAGAATGAGGAGTTATTCCGAAATAGCAAGCCCTGCTGTGTGGACTCTCACCTTGTTGTTTTGAAATAATGGGAGTTACTTTGAAATAACTCAGTAGTGTAGACATGCCCTTATTGATGAACCCATATCCCTGTGCCAGTCAGTGTGTGGCCTAAGCATGTCATGCATGTAGATGCTGGTTTAACTTTGTGCCTTAGGAGTCTAATGTGATGAATGTGGCAGTGTAATCTCATTTTTTTAGTAATAAAAACTTAGTTATAGCTGTGCCACCTTTGTAGTTGAAACTGTTCTGAATACCATAGAGCCACTCTGTCTACAGTTGTAGACTAGAGATGTTAAGGACTAGTCAACAAGCATTTGCTTTTCGGATAGTCCAGGGGCAGCCAACCTAAACCTGAGGAGCCAGAATTTACCAATGCCCATTGCCGAAGAGCAACATTTATGTCACCAGCCCCAATCATCTCCCCACCACCACTCTCAGCACATCCCACCCACAGGCAACCCCGCCGGGCAATGCCTCCTTTTCCTCCTGCCCACTGTGATCAGCTCTTTCTCAGTAAGAGACACTGGAGGGGGGGAAGCATGGGTGTGACAGGCTCAGTGGAGAGAGTAGGAGATGGCAGGATCCTAGGAGGAAAGGGTGGAGGGGGAACAATAAATAAATGGAGATATACCTTTCTCATAGAACTAGAAGGGACCTTGAGAGGCAGGACTAAGTGCCATCCCTGACGGATTTGCCCCAGATCCCTAAATGGCCCCCTGAAGGATTGACCTTACAACCCTGCATTTAGCAGGCCAATGCACAAACCACTGAGCTATCCCCTCCCCCGATGCCCAGGGCAGAGCTAGGGAACAGTGAACACCCTCCAACCCAATGGAATATTGGCACCTGTAGCTCCAGCCCTGGATTTGGTACCTATGTAAGGAGCTGCATATTAACTTCTGAAGTCATAGGTAGGCCACCCCTGGGATAGTCTGACTAGAGAGCGCAGCAGCAAAAGGGGAAGGGGGAGAGAATACTTCTAAGTGGCAGTGCCACACAGCTGATCCGTGGCTCAGCTGTGCAGCACTCTCCCCTTTAAAATGCCAAAGCGCTATGGAGCCCGGGGTCAGCTGGAGACTCCCCTTCTAATTCCGGGCTCAATAGCTTTGAAATATACAAGAGGTCCCACTGGGGACTCTTATACATTTCAAAGCAGGCACCCATGTGCAGCCCAGAGTCAGCGGGACTTCCTGCTGGCCCTGAGCTGTACGTGCAGTTCTGCATTTCTCCTTTGAAATGTACAAGAGCCCCAGTGGGGGCTCTTGTACATTTCAAAGGAGGAATCTGGAAGTGCCTATGAGCTAGTTGAGTAGTAGATGGAAATTCCATCTAGTCAATTAACTGCAATTTAACGTCCCTATTGTAGTCTAGATTTTAATTACTCAAAGCTTGCAATTTTCCTTGGAATACAATTGTCAAGCTATACAATAGAAAACCCTAACCTCATTGAAAATGGATATTAATTAGGTGCAGGAGTAGAGACTACTTGTTTGTTTCCACCCTCATATTTCCCCTCATTGTTCTGTACAGGGTGCAGTGAAAAGAAGCTTGCTCTTCTTATCTCAGAAAATAACCCCAAATGAAACCATGGATGTGCTCTAATTCCTTAGCAGTGTACTGGCTCTGGATCATTGCTATCCCCACCAATGTGGAGACCTCCAATGTGAAGATGCTTCTGGGTTTTGGTAGAGAGGAACAGTGTCACAGGGGTCCCTATGCATTGGGTGATTAGTGGGATGGCAAACAGTAAGATCTAATCTAAATATTAAGGGACAAAGGAGAATCTGCACTTCAAACAAGTCTTGAGCAAGGCTGAGAACTTAGAGCTAATTCCATTCTTGGCTCTGAATTTGTATCTGTAACTTAGTTTACCCAGATAAAGCAACAAAATTTGAAATATATTAATAGCTTTTTTCTCACTTATCTTTCCTTGCTAAGATGAAACTGACAGCTACAAGTCTGTTCTTGTTTCATGCAGGATTTAAAATCTGAAGATTGCTAGTTTGAAATAACTCAGTGAAAAGAAACCAGAAGTCTAAGTTAACCTGTAGCTTTTAAATCTGTTGACAGAAGCTACATTCATGCAAAAAAAAAAAAGTGAATACAAAGTTTGATTCAAAATCATCATGTATTACTTTATTATTTGTAAAAACAGTAAGCTCTAATAGGTTTCTGCTCAGAGCATTGTGAAGAATGTCTCTTTTAGTTTGAAAGATGTAGTTTCCAATTCTGAAACATATAAACATTACTTTTTAACTTCAGTATTGTTATATCTTGAAGATTATTTTGAGATGGAGAATAAAGTGAGTGTAGGACCTAATTTTCATTTTGCTTCAAGTCAAGTAAATCACTGGTGTGGGATAATCCAACTAGCAAATTTGTTACCTGATCATTAGGGGGTAGAAACTATAGTGTAATAAAGGGAGGGATGTTTTGTTGAACCAGCAATCTAACCTACCCATTTAGTACTGTAATGAAACTAATAGTCTAAAATAAAGAACTTATTACTCAAAGTAGTAATTTGGTGTATGAAATATTAAAGAGTAGGGCAAACTCTTAATCCAGCCTAAATGAAAAATTATGACACAACTAGCATTTTTGTATGGTAACTGGTAAAATGCAACCATTCCAGTCCAACAAGTATAGCCATAGCCTAAATCAACAGCATATTAAAGAACTTATAGCTGTAGTGCTGCTAGTACAGATGCTCTAAAATGACTGGAGGGAGCTCTCCCATTGACTTAATCTACTCAAATGAGTGGCAGTAGCTATTTCGATGGGAGAAACTCCCCTGGGTGACATAGTGCGTCCCTATCAACGCTTAGGTTGATATACCTTCTGTTGCTCATGAGCTGGCTTAGTCATACCCTGAATAGCATACAATATCTACCGAAGTTGTATGTAGCCATACCCTAAATTAGTGAGAGCATAATCAGGCCTCCAATCTACTTGTTTTAGAGACAGACACCTAACATAGCTACCATCCTTTTATGTAAGTTCTTGAAAATTTCAAGAATCAAGTCATTCAAACTTTCCTCCCTCCACAGCTCCGAAGCTCTTACATTTGCTTTCAGATCTTCAGAAGCAAGAAAAGCTAAACTTCAACTAAAATAAGATGAAAATACTTTACTATTGTGGGAGGAAAAATATTTGGAAGCATCTCCCTCTGTACTGGTTTGGTACTTCAGTGACTCCAATTATAAACAATTCTTCGAGTAGTGTCCTCGTGGGTGTTCTACTTTAGGGTGCTGGTGTGTCTTTGCACCAGCGACTGGAGATTTTTCTAGCAGTCTCCACGGCGCCATGCTCGTGCCAGGGTGCCCCCTCGTGCTGATTGTGTCCGTTAGGTGTGTGAGTGGTGCAGCTCCCTCAGTTCTTTCTGTACTGTCTTTGTCAGCAGCCAGCTTTTTCTCTTGCCCATTTCAACAACAAAAAATAAAAAAAAAACTTAATTTCCCATGGTTTCCTCATACTTCTAAGTTTTAAGATCCCCCCCTCCCCCCAACAACAAAAAAAATACTTCCGTTGTCATCGGCCTGCCGCATTTTGCCAGGCCTAATGCCGGGATCTCCCAGCTTCAAGAGATGTGAATGTTACCAAAATGCTATGCCCGTCTCAGACAGGCATTCCTCGTGCATAAAGTGCCTCGGAGAAGCCCATCAGACAAGTGTCCTCCCTGCTCTAACTTGACAGCCAGAGCATGCTGCAACCGTGCCAACAGGTTAAAACCTTTCTATACGAAAAGTCGCTCCAGCCAGCTTCTGAGGATGCATCATCTTCCTCGAAATCAACATCCGAGCTGAAAGGTATGGACAAAATGCATCCCTCTACCTCTTCTGGCAAATCTGTCCAAAACCAGGCTGTCCCTGGCCAGATCCCTACTCTCAGCACTGACTTCCACAAGGGTCAGCACCGCAGACAGGCCCGGCACCTCTGGCATGGCACCGTGCAAGATGCCAGAACCGCATAAGAGGGTGCCCTTAGAGCCCAAATAAAAACAAGTCATCCACTGTACCAGTCGCACCATGTAGCCTTCACAGGCATCGGTCAGCACTGGTCACGGTACCTAAGAGACACCGTGCTGACATGCCGCCTCCCAAGTATTCGTTGCTGCCTACACCCACGGCACCAATACTACACAAATCTCGGCACCGATACATGAGCATATATGATGCAGGTCTCCTGATGAGCTGTCTTTCATCGGCACCGTTGTCTCCATGCTCCTCTACACAATCGGAACATTCACACAGATAATTGATTCTGCCAAACTCCCCAAGCAAAGCTGGCACTGAGCCATGCAGCTGCTTCTCTTCCAAACATTCTATCCCAGCACAGGGAGTTCCATCTTGGGATACTGCTCCTATTATGTACACGTATCCACCACTGCCGCCACCACGCCACTCCCTTACCCCGGGCAATGGCAACCATGAAACCATGGGATTCATGTTCTCATAGGAAGAGTCTTTCTACGTTGCGCCTTCAACAACATCCACAGAACCACTCCACTCTTCCCAGTTTACAACAGCCGTGATGACACTGAACTCCCCTATCCAAACTGAGATGGAAGACTCTTTATCCGAAGGTGAAGACTGGTTCCCTGTGCATAATTCTCCTTCCTCACCACCCCGGCCCTAATGGATGACTCCAGAAAGTTCTAAGAACTTTTTATAATGGTGGCATTAGCGCAAGAGCGGGATTTCCAGGAAAATAATCAGCATAGTGGCATTGCGCAAGAGGGTTTTACTTGCGCAAGAAGGGGCAGTGTAGACAGCTCCTTCTTGCGCAAGAGCCTCTTCCGCAAAAATGGCGGCTCATTAGATATGCAAATGAGTCTCAGCGATATTCCACGCTTAGCCTCATTTGCATAGCTCTGGTACAAGATCGTGCCAGTGTAGACATAGCCCCTGGTGAGAATAGATACCACCATAGCGAGCACAGTGTGAACACCCAAAAGAGATTAATTACTGCAGCAGATGTATGCCAATTGTCAGTTACGTTGACAAAATTTTGTAGTGTAGTCATGCCCCTACATCAGAGTAGTCCATAGCTCAGTGGATACAACACCTGCCTGAGAGGCAATGCCTCCCCCTTGTCCCTCTCCTAATAGAGGGGAGAACTGGAGCTGGATATTCTACATCTCAGACAAGTTTGCTGAAAGTTATGAGAAGGGTCCCACCACCTCTGGCCATTTTGTGTGCAGGGAAGAATGTGCCCAATTAATTCCCTCAAGAAATATCTAAGCTGCTTAATCTTGAGTTCCTGTTTGCTCATCCCTGACAGTAGTAAGTGCTTCCTTGCATTCTGGAATTAAGCACCTAACTCTCCTGTGGGAAGTGGAGGAGGGGAGGGAGTGCTTTAGGACATTTTGTTGACATTACCCCTGTTTGTGTTGATTAGGACAGATGTAAAACTAAAGTGCTGTATGTGTTAATTGCAGGAATTTTAGAAAGAAAGGTCAAAGTGGGAGAGAGGTTTCACTCTGGTGTACTAAAGAAACTAGCAAGGCTTCACTAACTGAATAACCACACTGAAAATATTTCTCATAAAAAGATTAAATATTTAATCCCTGGAAAAGTCAGTGTCTCTTCTACCTTTCCCATCCCCCAAATTTCTTTCAAGAAAGTAAACTTTGACTTCCTTGCCTTTGGGAGAATTGAGAGACTGATTTACTGTCCTCCTTCAACCTAAAATGGGGAGGGAGAAATGCTTCTGGGTCCCTCTCCACTCTGTCAGCCATCTGTCTTTGCTGCTTTCTCCCACAGCCCCATTTGCCTTTGGGAATACACAGAACGTGTAGACATGCCAAATTCTGACGTGCCAAGAACTCTCTTTGACCAAAGTCCAATCTTGCTTTCATTATTTCTTTATCAATCCTAAGTGCTCACATCCTCATTGGCCCTAAATAGCTTCTGGGTATTCTGGAGGGAGCAAGTTTTCTTCATAAAATATTTCACAGAATACATGGCTCATAGTGATTGACAGAAAATACTTAAACTACTGCTAGCTTATTATTTTGATGGGAGGCTTTCAAGAAAATGTCTGTGTGCGTTAGTAAGTAATATTGTGAGGTTCACTGTTTGGCAGACCACCTACAATTGACGTGAGAAATGTGTGCGCCCAGGTAAAATTCAGGTAAAACAAACAAAAAAAGGATGAAAATATTTTTTTAACCTGAAAGGTAAAGAAAAAAGCAAAACAAGTGTAATGCTCTGTTCTCATTTAAGAATAACATTTCACAACCTGAAATTTTACTTCATTTTGAACTTTAATTGCTCATTCCAATAGCCCATTTAAGTTGTTTTGTATCGATTATTTTATTAATACAGGAGCTGGCCCAAATTGCATTTCCTGCCTTTTTCATAGCACTGCTTTTCAATAAAGATTTAAAACAAGGCTTTCTCTCTGCTGCATCTAGGCTAACTTTTAAAATGTGTTCTTGCTCACCTCCTTTGGCAATATCTTTAGTGACCTGGGAAGCCTTCAGAAGGTGCTTTGCAGGACATTGGTTGGCTGCTCACTGTGATAATGCATCCCTCTATTTTTATGGAAATGTATTTTGAATATGCATAATTTAAATATAATTTATGAAAAAAGGGACACGTAGTCTATCATTCAAGAGGGCTGTTGGTAGCAAAGTTTCACTTCAAAGGTGAAAGTGCTGCGGGGAACCCGGCCCCCCTAGCCCCGGTCTCCATGTGGCGCTGCCACTTTGAAATGCCATGGGGAGCCCGGCATCAGGCTCCACTAGTCGTTCACATCCCTATAGCAGGTAAGTTTAAAATCTTTTTTGTTTATTTTTAAATGTATTTTTTTCAATGAAGTCTACAAGTTTATTCTGTTATGGCCTGGGTGCCTCAATCAATAAACTTCTGAACTTGTTTTTGCTTTTTAAAATGTCTTAATTCTTAGGATCCCTCTTCAATGGAATATAAAATGGGGAAATTGTGCATGAAAGGAAAGAATATGAAGATTCAACATGTCTTTAAAGAACATTTTAGTTCACATATAGTGCAAAAATGCTCAGGATCATGGTGTATAATCATTTGCAAACATGATTATCTAACGAGTTCTTTCTCTAAGCCTTAGTGTTATTGGTAATAGTAAGGACCGGTATTGATTTGTTCATGAGTGTTTTCAGTGAGTCATAATCAAGGATATCGTATAGGTACGTAATGTAAAAAGTTAAACTATTTCATACATATGGGTAAATGTAGCATCTGCCTTTGTTTCTTGTTTACCTTTCTAATGAATAATATATGTATAGGAATAGTGGAAGAGCATGCTACCATGGGTCTGAAACATTGGGTTGTTGCTAGTTCTCTTACCCACGATGTAACCTTGCGCTAGCCACTTAGCCAATCTGATTCATTTTCCCCCTCTATAACCATTATAATACTTCTCACTGTAAAGATATTTGAGATTCTTGGAATAATAGCATGACATGACTGCAAAGTATTAATTATTGTGGAAATAGAAATGGTAATACATACTGAAGGAGAAAGCAAGGTAAAAGACTGATTAAAATATATGCTTTAAATGGGCAAGTCTATAAATGCTTTGTCATTCTGGCCTTTTTCAGAATGCGGAGAAAATAGAACAGAATGACTTAGGCCAAAACAATTCACTCTAGTTTTCAACTAAAAGAATTAGAAATATCAGATGTTAACGTATAAACATTTTAAAAATCTTTGCAATCTTGATCAAAATCTTGGAAGTAATATCAGATAACAGAGCTATACATCATACAGTAGAAAGCAATCATAGATGTTAAGGCATATCTAGTGGGGGTGTCTATCCAGGGTCTGTTCTATTCATTTTTTTCATTGACTGATAACAGAAGTGTGAGTAAACTTACAAAATCTCCTGATGACACCAAACTGGGAGGGACTGCAAGTGCTTTCAGGGACAGGATTTGAATTTAAAACCACCGTGAAAAATTAAAGAATTGATCTGAAATCAAAAAGATTACATTTAATAAAAGTGCAAAGTATTTCACAAAGGAAAGGGGAAAATACAACTACAAAATGGGGATTTAGAGTGGGCACAAATTGAACACAAGTCAACACTAATACAGTGGCAAAAACACCCCGCTTAACATTCTGGGGTGCATTAAAAGATTGTCATATATATGTAAGACAAAGGAGGTAATTGTCCCACTCTACAAAAATAGTAGTGAGGCCTCCACTGGTCCAATTTTGGGTGCCACACTTTAGGAAACTGAACTGAAGAGTGCAGAGAACAGTAACCAGAATGATAAAAGGTTTAGAAAACCTGATTTAATGAGAAAATGTTAAAAAGCAACAACTGTGAGCAAACTTTGTCTTGAGAAAAGACTGATAATCTTCAAATATGTTAAGGCTGATATAAAGAGATGCTGATAATCTTCATATACATTGAAGGTAGGTCAAGTAGTGAGATCCTTTCATCTCTACATTTCAGTGATCCTATATTTAGTTGCATAATACAAGAACAATAGTTTTAAGAGTAAACCATGTAGATAAATAATTTGTTTTAGACTAAGAATACACTCTTATGATTAGAGAAAACTTAGGTTTATTGCCACAAAATAAATAATTGCTCTATTGAAATAACACTGATATTAGTTTGTAGGGAAGTTTGTGATGCCTTACTCTTCCCTTTTCTTTTTTAAAACCATGAAAGAGAAGCTTAAACATTTAAAATGCAGTGCTGTTTTGCACCTACACTCCTGCTTTTCATTTACTGAATGTAACTAAACTAAACTAAACATGTGTGTTAACAGACTTTTCCAAATTGCTATTTTCCAATTAATGGCTTTGGTGATTCATTTAGTGACATCTTTTCTTCTGAGCCACCATCACACCAATGTTCCACTAGGTTAGTTTTGGTCATCACATGACATTGGAGGAGCCATTTTTGGATGAAACAAAGACAACATCCTAAATTTTTGTCATTGATTTAAAATTCCATAGTGCTGTTAATCTTGATATCCTGTTTTAACAAAGTGTAGGTCTGAGATAACATAATTAAACATACAGGAGGCCTCAGGTGAATAGATAAGCAGGTTAAAAATAGAATATTTGTATTTTAGATGGATCCAGATGCTAGAAGATAGAATATCTAAACAAGTTAAGATAAGGGAAGGGACTATCCTTGGAAACAATTACAAAAAACAAAACATTTTACACTAAGAAGTGGATTTCTTATCCATTTGTATATCTTTTTATTATTACTGTAGGAGTTTTGCTTGATCTGTTCCACAGTAAAAATAAATGAGCTTTATAAAAGTGTAGAAGTGCCCAAAGACTAGATGGTTCAAGACCTATTGGGCCCTATCCAAATAAGTATATATGAAACAAACAACATTTTTATTCTGAAATTATTAAAGGGGCTTACAAACAAACATTAGGGTAGTGCAAATAGTTCGCAAAACAAGTCTGAATTCATGTGAAATCACAGTGCAGCTGGAGCTCAGTTGGATTTGAGAACATCACCCCAAGCCCTGGAACAATGTGCAAACTGGGGATGCAGCTGTGTGTTGTAACCCCATTCTCTTGTCGGTACCTCTCAAGGTAGCAAAAAGCCAGCTCTGTCTGCCCCATGCCTCAGGCCCTGGGCTAAGGATTTATAAACAAGCTATCAACCTTAGCAGATAAACTTAGAGCCAATGGGATTCCACTGTAACTGGGCTAGAGCTTAGGCTCTGAGAGAAGCCATCAAAATTCTCTTCCTCTTTGGAAAGGGTTGAACAGTATCTGTAAAAAAGATTCATTCTTTTTTTAGAGGTTCAGCTTTGGTCAGAATCCAACCTCTAAGCAAGCCAGTTTTCTACCAGCACCTGCAAATAGACTTATCCAAGGCTGTTCATTTCAAGTGCGTTTTTGTGGAATCAGTTTAATTAGGGTCACTCAACTGCAGCTGTAAAATGGAGCACGGTAGGCACAGATGGAAAGAAGCAGGCAGAGATTTGGGGTGAGGCGATTGTGTTTATATAGGGTTTTCAAAACAAATGTTCTTTATGTGGCGGCTGGAAGAGATGCCTGCATGGAAACCCTGAGAGGGGGCGGCCGGGGGAGCCTGCTTTGGGAGGCATGAATCATCCCATAAATACACACTGAGAGGTTGTGGCAGCAGAGAGCAGGGTTGGCTTTTTTTTCGCTCTCAAAAACATGGCTGAAGCTGGGACAGGCTTTCTGGAACAGCTCAAGTCCTGCATCGTCTGGTCATGGACTTACCTCTGGACCCTGTGGGTCTTCATCATGCTTTTCCTGGTCTACATCCTAAGGGTGCCTTTGAAGATCAATGACAATCTAACCACAGGTAAACCACATTCTCCACGGAAACCTCGCGGGCGCTTTCCCGCAGCCCTGCCTGCCTCCCAAAGTTAGTGCAACTTGTGCGGGAGAGAGGGACACGTCTGCAGGCGGAGCCGGCCAGGGCGCTCCTGTGGGTCTTCATCATGCTTTTCCTGGTCTACATCCTAAGGGTGCCTTTGAAGATCAATGACAATCTAACCACAGGTAAACCACATTCTCCACGGAAACCTCGCGGGCGCTTTCCCGCAGCCCTGCCTGCCTCCCAAAGTTAGTGCAACTTGTGCGGGAGAGAGGGACACGTCTGCAGGCGGAGCCGGCCAGGGCGCTCTCTCTGCGGCGCTGCCAGGCTGGGGAGGTGGGTTATACTGGAAAGTTCAATTCCCCCCCCCGCCCCTCGCGCTCCAGCTCAGACTCCTGAGCTTCCTTTGCAGCCTGGCACACGAGCCGCGGATCCCCCCTCCCTC